GAAAATATAGAGATAGAAAACATTGGCGGTTGTCAGGAGTTAGGTGGAGGAGGGGAAAAGGAGCTATGAAGGGATAGCACAAAACATCTTCGTGGGGATGGAGCAGTTCTATATCTTGAGTGTGGTTACACAAATCTACACACATGATAAAACTGCACAGAACCATAAACGTGACTGCATGTAAAATTGGTGAAATTAAAGTACGTTTTGTCAATTTTTTGGTTTTGATATTATACTGCAGTTAATGTAAAACATTACCATTGGGGGAAATGGGGTGAAGGATACATGAAACCTTGCTACTATTTTTGCAACTTCTTGTGAATCTATAATTATTTTCAAATAAAAGTTAAATTTTTTTTTCTTTTTAGTCTTTCCTACTTGCAAGGTACCATGCTAAGTGTTGGGACTATAAAAGAAAATCTAGAGAGGTTATACATATTTTGTAAAGTTAGAAAACGAAAGAAAATTAAAAAACAACACTAGCTTTTTTGCCAAGATGGTGCGGAAGGCGAGGAAGGAAGTTCCTGCCTCTCTCAAAGCTGAAGTTAAAGCAAAAGTTTTGAAGGCTAAGAGGACAGTGCTAAAAGGCAGGAAAAAAAAAAAAAAGGATCTGCACATCACCCACCTGCAGATGGCCCAAAGCACTGAGGCTCCCTAAGGCCACATAGCCTCCCCACCGGAGAACAAGTTGACCACCATGCCATCAAGTTCCCCCTGACCACCAGGTCTGCCGTGAAGAAGACAGAAGACAACGATACCCTGCATTGGCCATGACAGCCAACAAGCACCAGAGCAAAGAGGCTGTGAAGAAGCTCTGTGATATTGATGTAGCCAAGGTCAACATTCTGATTAGGCCTGATGGAGAGAAAAAGGTGCATGCGTGACTGACTCCTGATTATGATGCTTTAGATGTTATCAACAAAATTGGGATCATCTAAACTGAGTTTAGCTGGCTAATTTGTGCTCTTTCTCTCCTTTTTTTTTTTTTTTTTTTTTTAGTGAGAGAGTTTTGCTATAGGGCATTTGTACTCACTGGAGAAACAGAGACAGACTGAGAGATAGAAAGAGAGACATCACCCTATCCACCCTCCCCAGAAGGATGGCCATGTTGCAATCCCTTCTCCATTCTCCTCAGGATTTTGAGCATGCGTTTTAAGCCACTGGGTATGGGATTCAAACTGTGGTAGACTATGTGGGAGTCCAGCAACATAACTATCATGCCATCTGATGGTCCCCAGCCAGCTAGTTCTAAACATACAGGTTTTTACCACCAAAACAAAACACCAATACTATAACAATGTTGAATATTTCAATCAACGAATATGAAGGGTTGTCAAAATTTCATGACAAATGCAGACTATGAAAAAACTTTGCATGGATTTCAAAATACTTTGCACCAAAATAAATTCATACTGGTCTAGCAGGTGTCATGGAGGTTGAGGCGGCTGGATCCCACATGGCTGACTACAGTTTGAGTCATAGACCTGGTGGCCTGAAAATAATGCCACATGTGTGTGCCTGCGTACCCAAAATCCCAAGAAGAGAATGGAGGAGAAGGGATTGCAGTGTTGCCATTCCCCCAGTGGGTAATTTCTCACTTTCCCTCTTACTGTCTCTGTCTCTCTCTCTCCAGTGAGCTCACATGCCCTAAGGCACAAACAAAAATAAATAAATAAATAAAAATTTTAAATGTTAAAAAATAAGTTAGCTATGAGCTTTTTGGTAATAGCTACTATTGTATTAAGAAAGTTCCTTTCTGGGGCCAGCAGGTGACATGGTGGTTAAGGCACTGAACTCTCACATAGCTAACCATGGTTCAAGTCTCTGACCTGGTGGCTTACTTTCTCACTTTCCGTGGTCAAATTAAAAAAGGAAAAGAAAGAAAAAATGGGAAAAAAGCAAATAATAATAATAATCTTAAATTAAAAAATATATATATATATTTTAAAGGAAGTTTCTTTTTAAAATTGCTGACTTTTTATGATAAGGAATTAGTTCTCCATGTGGAGGAAAATTCACCTTTGATCCCCTATCTCACACAATACAGCAAAATTAATATAAGATGAGTCATATACCTAAATATAAAAAGTAAAGATAAAGCTTTTAGGGCCAGCAGGTGGCATGGTGGTTAAGGCTCTGGACTCCCACAAAGCTGACCGTGGTTCAAGTCCCAGACCTAGAGACTTGAAAAATCATACCAGACACATATGTATATATGCCTAAAATTCTGAGAAGAGAATGGAGAAAGAATTGTAGTGTGCTCATCCGTCCCGGGGTGGTGATTTCTCACTTTCCCTCTCCCTATCTCTCTTTGGCAAGCACATGCACCCTACGGCAAAACAACTGAGAAAATAAATAAATTAAAAAAAATAAAAAAATTGAACAACACTTTTAGAGACTGGCCCAGTAGTCAGTATTCAGTGGTTAAGCTTTGTGCTTTGGGAGCCAGGTCCGATATAACCGACCATGGTTCTGGTCCCAGCTATAGCAGCTTGAGAAACATGCTAGGTGCGTGTGCATATGTGCCCCAAATCCTGATGGGACAGGAAAATAGAGGAAAGGGGGAATGGTAGTGTGACCATACCCCCCTGGGGGGGGGGTGTTCTCTTTCTCTAGTGAGCACACGTACCCACTGGCAATTAAAAAAAAAAAGCTTTCGGGAAAAAAACTGAGGAATATCTTCTGGAGTTTTGGATATAAAAAGATTTTCTAAACTGAAAGCAAGCAGAAATTAGAAAAGTCAATAAATTACACTTCACTGAAATGAAGAACTTCTAGTCATTAAGACTGAAAGAACAAAAAGGCAAGTCATAGGCCAGGAGAAGTCACCTGTAGTATATGTAGCTAACACAGGTATTCTGGTATTCAAAATACTCAACAAATTCCCATAAGTCACTAAGAAGAAGGTAAAAATTGGTCAAAAAGCTTGAGTAGGCACTTCTCAAAATAGGCTCTCCAGGGAGCCAGCAGTTAGCGTAATGGCTATGTTGCTGGACTCCCACGTAGTCGACCA